CTCCGACCGAGAGACAGTCTCGTTTGTTTCGGAGCGTTCGCAACAAAAGGACAACCGCATGCATCGCAACCGAACGGTTTTTCTCCTGAAATCGATGTGCGGCATTCGACGGACTGATGCCGCGCGCTTGGCTCGTTTAGTTTTATTGCTAAGCTTCATTATCTCCAGTGCGGTGATTGACTTTTCAATTATTAAGTTTCTGGAAGTGTGATGTGTTCGTCTTGCGAGGTGCTTATCGATGAATTTAGTTTATCGTAGGTGTATGACAATGACCGAGAAGATTTCCGGGACATGACAGCTGAATTAGTGGTCGCGGTCCAATATTTCGTCCTTAATGCTCGTGATGGCTTGTTGCAGCCCCCTGTGGCGGAGCGAAAATAACCCCCCACGCATCCAAGAAGGGAGAGAGTCTATACATATACGGAAACAAAAAGCACCCGATCGCAACCCGTCGCGGAAACGAGCGATGACAGCTGTAACGCCAACACATACACAGGCACACCGATCGAATATTTGTAACGTGTCGATGTTTTCCATGGCCTACGGGGGTGCGCGCGACTCTCTACGTGTCCGTTATGGAACTAATTATCGAAAAATTGAGGAGATTGCTGCGATCATATTTTCAATTCTCTTTCGTCTGATAGATTGTTTTACAAAGAAATAACGCGCTGATTTTTTCAGTCATAGTTTCTTATCCAAAGTAGTAATTTTACAAAAAAAGCGCGCAAACTTATTTCAACATCGAATTCTAGAAATAACATTGGTTCAACTGTTGATAGACGGATAACTAATGAGCAATGCAACATTAGCACAACTCTCACTGGCGAAACCTCATCATGCGCGCGAATAGCTTTATAATTAATCGCACATTCGCAATCACCCTGCAGGCAAGAGAGGAGAGGTAGGGAGGGAGAGAGAGAGAGAGAGAGAGAGAGAGAGAAGAGAAAAAAGAAATCGAAAATTCACGCGCGTGTCAAGTCATTCATCATATAGGCTGCGCCGTCGAGTGACTCTCATCCTGACAAATTCGTACAAAAAACTCGTCGGCGGGCTAGCACGTTAACACCCGCCTATAATATGTTCGCTCGTGAACGTCGAAATTTGGAATCATTAGAAGACGCAATCTATCACTGCGAGCGCAGGTGTCATGAACTGAATAAATCATCTCACCTTTGTATATATCTATTCCATTTCTGAATGATCATCGCGGGCAATTTATTTCGCCAGTTAGAAAAGAACGAAAGTGGTAATTAGCCAATTTATTTGTCGCGAAAGTTTCTCGCGCAGAGAGCTGTATCGATCGCATGCTCGCCGGGAAAGCCACCCTCCAAGTTGAGAGAGAGAGAGCTCATACATATATCCACGTCGCTGCTGCTGCCATCGTCGTGAGTTCCTTGGGCGTGTTTTCCTTTCCTCTCGAGGTTATCAGATTTTCATAAAGTCGCTCTCGAGTTTTTTTTCTTCTTCTTCATTCTTCACTTTCTTGCGAGCGAGGCTTTCGTCAAGAAAAATACCTGCCACGTATATAACCGTAATTCCCTTTTGTCCCATGGAAAAACTTTGTGTGCGTGAGAAGAAAAAAAGCACGACCGGTATATGCTCGCATATAGGAAAGTAAACCACTAATTTATCGGAAAGGGAGAGAGCCTTTTTGAGCTCGCGGTCATGAATTCGATCTCTATTGATGAGTATCGAAAAGAATAGGGAGATACCATTCATCGCATTCTACGAATGCATGCGCGTCCGAAGAGAGAGAGAGAGAGAGAGAGAGAGAAAACGAAATTCGTATACTCGCGTGACATTGCTGAGGATAACGATACTCTAATTCCTGTATATATAGGCTTGTGTCACACACAAAGGCGAAACGAGAAGAGAGATACAGTCGGAATTAAAAGTTTTGCGATTAGGAAGCGGCAAAGAGCTGCTATATACACGTCGTCGGCGGTGAGATTGCCTCCGGGCTATATGTACGAGAGAGAGAGAGAGAGAGAGAGCATATTGAATAACTCGCTCGCTGGACCGCGAAAATATAGTGGCGCGGCAACGCCAGCACAGCACGGAGATCGACCAAAAGGGACCTGCGCTGCTCTATCCTCCGGGCAAATCTCTATCTCGCATATCTTTCGCGTGCACAACGCTTCAACCCTCGCCTTTCTGTCTTTTGTCTTTTTCGCTTGTGTTCCTTCAATTTGATTTTCGTCGTTGTGCATCTCCACGCGTGTGTGTATTTGTATTTTTTTACCGCCGTTTGCCAGCTTTACACAGCAGGTAGCTTTTGTGAAAAAATTTACGAGTTAGTTGCTCGTGAGCAAAATTTACTAAATGAACTGCCTTTCCGTTTTGCGAGAGAGGGTCTATTGCGCAAATTCATAAAAATTAATAAAAATAAAAATATTAATTACTACGCGTGTGAACTTACAATAGAAAAGTATTGAAAAAATACTTGCATTGATGTGTACATGATAGCCACTGGCAGAAGTTGTATAATTACAGCTGAAGCGCTCATTGCGATGCATGCTTATCCATGCAAATGCGAGAGAAAGAGAGAGAGAGAGAGACGGTGCTCCACGCTCGATAAAAGGACACGTATCAATTACTCCGTGTCTCGCGGCAGCGACTAAGTTGCGCTATATTAATCGGCGAATAGGGTAATAGTATGGTGTAACGCACCAACTACATGCCGCGTTAATCATCCTCTACATACATACATACATTCAGACATATGCCGAGATCGCTAAGATCTAGGACGGTGATTCTTAATTGCACCGAGCGCTTTCTACTCGGCAACGATGATATTGCATGCAAGTACGGAATATACAATATGTTTGTAGCTAATTGTTAATTCATGGCCTAATTAAAAATTGCGTATTTACGATTATCCATTAAAAAACCCATACTAAGCAGGTATTAGCTGCCACATGTGTTTGAGTGCCAAGCAAACACAAAGTAAGGTGCTACAGATGTTCACCGCGGAGATATTTCCAATCAAATGAAGGCATTTCTAGAAGAAAGCAAGATAGGAAGGGAGAGATAGAGGAAAAGAGGGATCTGAAACAAATCTTGTACCTGTGCAGGCCCCTCTTTCTCCACGTAATTTGCATTATCCCTAGTAAAGACTGAGAGAGAGAGAGAGAGAGAGAGAGAGAGAGAGAGCAGCAACGATAATAATAGTTCCCGGTGTTTGAGACGTAATTTATCGCTTATATACAGCATCTGTATAAACAGCACCATGCAAGGCGGAGCTTAGGGGCGCGTCTGAATTTTTGGGTTTTCTTCGGGTTCGTCAATTTCTAATGGCACGAGAGTTATTGTTGCGATGTGGGACGACACAATATCGTAAGAAAAAGGGAGGGAGAGAGGACTCCCAAGTATGTACCGAGTTACCAGTCGTTTACCTAGGACGCGTACAAGTCGAAGGGAATGCAAGTGGGCGTATACGCACGCGGTTGCTGTTATTGCTGGCACTTAACCACCGTGACCGACTGAAGGAACCGAGGATTAGTGATATCTGCTGGCGCTCGCTGTAGTGCAGACACTCGGTTTGTGAGAAGTCTGCATTTCTGCATAAAAGTACGCAGACGTTACTAAGCTGCCATATTGCTTTCAGCGATTAGCCAAAAGTTAAGTTGCACCGGATCAAGTGGCAATGCCTAATACTGCGGCGAATTCATCGATTGTTTTTGCATTTCAGCCAAATCATTAGGTCTTTTGTTTCTCTATTATGTACGTCTTCACTTGTATTTCTAAGAGATTCCAAGAGACTTTTGTACGTTTTTCAACAGTTGTTGCTTTATTATTTCACACGCGCCTGATTTTTTTTTCCAACTAATTAAAAAGAATTATTCGATGAAAAGGCTAATAAGCATGCGAATCGAATTTTAAAAAGATATTCCAACGAATGTAACATGGCAATAATCCGCCCTCGAAAGCCATCAGAAAATTAATGCGCCTGCATTCTCATTCTGTCGGCCACAAGAGAAAAGGAGAACACACGGCGCGTAATCTGAATAGAGTCGAGAGATGGGAATGCAGGGCGCACGACATTTACTAAAATGCGATTGAAAGTCGTAATTTGAAAATCGGCCATAGTCTGGCTGCCGCTGCTGCGTCGACCCTCCGTCGGACGTCGAAATGAAATTACGCGACCCTCTTGCGTCGTCGTGTACATGCGGCAGGGGAACGCGCATCACGCGGCGAGTCTCTGTCGGCGAGAAAAGGACACAAAGGATGCTCGTTTGTCGAGGACAATTTTCGGAGGGATCTAAACCGCTAATCGTTTCGCGATTATGTTTCATTAAACGCCACTTAATGAATGAGGACGCTGGCACGTAGCAGCATCGACCGCAACGCGTGTGCCTTTTTCAGAGAGGAAAAAACCGTGCCACGCGTGTTTTTGATGATGCTTATGTAAACACGCGTCGAAAGAGGAAGCCCCGAGTGAATTCGCGGATAATTGCTCCTTTTCGAAGCAGAAATCCATTTCGCGCACATGTCGGTGAGTCAATACGCAGTTTTGCCAAACAAATTGTTTGAAGTGTTGCTATTTTATTTGTGATTAAATGCATGTACGCCGACACCGAGTATATTATAAACATTTGCTTTGTGTCACGTTTCAACTGCAGTTACATGACTGACTCGGATGGGAGACGATAAAGCCACGCACAATTGATTCGTCTGGGTTGCACGGGTAGGCGAACGAACGAAGTTAAATTCCGCGAAGAAGGTTGCAAGAATTTCATTGTCGACGGCCGGAATGACACTTGTTTACATGTCGCTCAATGAAATTCCGTAGCCGGCAATCGCGTCGTACGTACACATACACGCAGTTTGTGTATCGTAAGAAGCGATATTTACAAAACAGGTCGCAAAACCGACCGGTAAACGATATCCGAAAGCACTGCCGGCGCGACGCTCGCTGAAAAATCGCGGAGCACTTGAGGGTGCTGCTGATAATATTTGGTTTTGCGAAAAGCAACAGAGCAAAGGGCAAAGCAATTTACCTGTTTTTTGCGGCTGCCGCACGGTCTCGTTGTCTGCGATTCTTGAACCAGTTGCCGACTTGCGTGGGCGTGAGACCCGTGGCTGCGGCGAGCTCCCTCTTCTTGCCTGGATTGGGATAAGGATCCTGCAGATACCATTCTCTCAGTAGCGATCTGGTTCTCTCCTTGAAACAGTGTGTCTTCTGCTCGCCATCCCATATGGTCCGCGGCAGCGGATATTTCTTTCTGACGCGATACTTATCCACAGGACCCAGAGGCCTGCCTCTCAATTTTTCCGCCTCGTGGTAGTGCGCCTCCAGCCACATGGCCTGCAGCTTGCCGTGCGAGTCCTTGGTGAATTTGTGCCTCTCCAGAATGGCGTACAACTCGCGATACTGGCCCGAATGGAAAGCGACGATCGCTCGTGCGCGCAACACCGCTTCGCTCTGATTCAGCTCCTGAATGTTGGGATGCGCGACGGGCAAGCTCCACAAGAAGCGCGCCAGACGCTCGATGTCGCCCGACTCCTCGAGCGTCTCGCACACCGTCGACACTTGGCCGACGGTGAACGAGAGCGTCGGTAGCGCGAACACCGGCGACGGATGCACGATCGGCCCAGCGGGGCCACCGCCGCCGACCAACGGCGCCGCGGTTGGCGCCGGAGCCACCGCCGACATCTCCTCCGCGAGTCGACCCGTCGCCGCTGGTGGCAGCTGCACTTGCGGCTGCCTGCTACTCTCGAGGGCTAAGGCTACGTTATTGTTGCTGTTGCCGTGTTGATGGCCGTGATGCTGAGGCTGGTGCAACCGCGAGCTCGCATGCTCCAGCTCGAGCCGCGGAGCTTTTGCTGGGCGGCTGCTCTCCTCCGGGATCACGGGAATTTTGTCGGATGATTATCAACAACGACAACCACTATTACTTGCGTACCCGCGACAAAATCACCACCGCGATAGTCACTTGTCGTGCACACACTGTCTCCTTCTCGCGAGCATCGTCTTGTGCGGAAAAAGCGTTGTTCGTCAACACACGCTAGATCGAGAACAGGTGTATGCTTCAACGGTTGAGTGTACACCAGCGGCGGCGGCGGCGGCGGCGGCGGCAGCAGCAGCAGCAGCAGCGGCAGCGGCAGCAGCAGCAGCAGCAGCAGCAGCAACAGCGGCAGGCGAAAGGCTCCTGCCTCGATCGTATCGGATGGCAAACTGGTTTCGCTTACAAGCAGCCGGCATCTCTCGGTGGCCGCATGATACGTTTGCGAGAGCGAGAGAGAAAGAGAGAGAGCGCGCGCACTGATGTTGGTTGGTAGTGTTAGTAGTGGTGGTGGTGGTAATGCCGTGCGAGCAGCCTATCGAGTGAGCGTTGCTCGCTCCGCCCATCGCGATCCCAAGGATTGGCCGGATCTAGTGGCTGTTGCCCGTGGCAACCCGCATTGCTCCCTGCTTAATTATCCCCACGCTCGCGTTCTCTCGCGTTCTCTGCCACACACGCACGCGTATATATCTATATACGAGAAATGCTATAAGGATACTAAAGTGGGGGATACATCACTCTCTTGCTCTGTGTGCGTATTACTCCTCTCTCTCTCTCTCTCTCTCTCTCTCTCTCTCTCTCTCTCTCTCGAAAGATGGAGAGTAACGTGATCCCTCGATGCTCCAAGATTGACGTTGCTGCTGCTTTTTTTCTTCGCTAGCTGCTGGGATGGGGGTGGAAAAAGGCTCGCTTTCGCGGATCTTTGACGTTTAGTCGATATCTCGCCATGCGCTACGATCTTAGAGGGGAGGGACGACAATCTTCTCTGTCTCGCGCTCTTTTTTGCGTGCTACGCTACGACCTTTCAACAATGACACGTGCAATGCGATGCAAAATTTTATTACGTTGTAATATCTATTAGTATTTTTAACGAAATGGTTCTTGCTACAGTTGAACTTTGCTCAAATATTTAAAGATATTTATTTGTTTTTTTAGAACAAATGAGAATAATGGTGAGAGCGAGTAGTACATAGCAAGGTTGAGAGAGGTGATTCGCGCGCGACTCGAGTCTGAACGATGTGGCGAACTCCGTTTTATCGAGCGCTGCACCAACCCCTACCATCATCTCCCGCAGCTCTTCTCATTCTATCTTCCGCACGATAACGTATTTGCTCACAAGAATAATGCGCATGCGCCAGATGAAATCCCGTCGATGTCAATCCACATCATACATGTAAATTTCTTGATAATTTGACGAAAATACCATAGTTGAGTAATGAAGTAGGCTCGAGTGGTAAAAATAAGAAAAGAAACTATTTACAAAATGCTTTAGTGGAACACGAAGCAGTTTCTGAATCGTCAAGCTCAATCGAGCTTGTGCAATAGTAAAACGTGGAGCTGATTTGATTGAGTCGGTGAGAAGAGATGATAGTAGTAGATAAAGGACTGGTAGTGTGTGTCTTGATCCATCGGTGAATTGAGCAGAGCGAGGGAGTTATGTATATCCAAAGGAGAACCTTAAGTCTTCGATGACAGTCGGTGCGCGGTAATGCGCTTTACACTCTTCGCTCCCGAGTGTTATTACAAGATATAAGAGCCGATACGCAAGGGTGAAATACAGCACGAGTATTAGTATCGATCGGCCTTCGCGCTGCAATCGATGCTCGACCAGCGGCGTATTATTAATGCCGTGTGAGCGCAATCGACCAATTGCGACAACTTGTTGTAGAGCTTTGTCATTGCTACGGTGACAATTGTTATAGCAATCAACACATTTTGCTACACGTCCAATTAAGCGTTTCGGCTTTTTTTATCGCCACTAAATTACTTGCAAAGCGCTGAAAATGAAGGAGACCGTAGCTTTCAACGCTTCAACGCTGTGCCCTCTTCGCGCATAATCCTCCGCGGTGCAAAAAATACCGTAGCGATATATACAATATGACGGCACGATTTTATTATCAGTGACGCTCGGACTTCTAATGGACTCGCAGCCCCTCTTACACTCGATGGCGCGAACAAATCTAGCGTCCGCATTTGATTATTCATACCACTGCTCCCCTACCACTACTGTTTTATCCTTTTTATTTGCCAATGCCCACGATAATGCTCCCGCGTTGAAATATTCAACTTGCGCTGAAAATATCCTTTAGCTCCATTGACACGTTTTTTTTTATGGAAGTGCAGCTGATTATTTTTTCCTTGCATGCCGATATAAATGTTTCGTTCGAGCAATTTTTGAACGGCAAAACGAATGCTTGATTTCTTTCTCGAATCTCATGGATGTACAAATCTTTTCGTATTACGCCGGACATATACGGAGCCTGTGAAATTTGGTCGGTTTTCTTTATAAAATAAAATAACAATTGCGAATATTGTTCTTCTCGCTGGGTTGTGCCAACCTCGGATAGCCGAGGATATATTAGAAAAGTAGGGGAGACCAATCCTACCCTTCTTAGCTGTTCAGGCAAATCAGACGTATGTATATAGAAGCGAAGAAGGGAGTGCCAATGGTCAATCCGAAACACACGGGTGTCTTTGCAAAAATCCTTGCTCTCTCTCTCTCTCTCTCTCTCTCTCTCTCTCTCTCTCTCTCTTCTCTCTCTCTCTGTCGTTCGGTCTCGTCCTGTCCGTGTATACAATCGGGTACCAGCAAACCCCCTGTCGCGCACGGACTAAGCGCGCTCCAATCGGAAGGTGCCAAAGCCAAACACTCATTGGGCCCAATTAGCCGTGCAGCTAACTGCTGGTTTCGCTCGCTTGCTCTCCAATAGACTGCCTCGTGGATTTTTGCATTCTTTACTGTGTTGTATACCTCCACTTTTTTCCCTCAACTCGTTCTGTTTTCTTTTTGGATTTTTAATGGACTTTTAGTCGAGCCGCTATTGTCTCGATACCCTAAATTCTTGTTATTTTTCGATTTACATATTAACGGTTATTCCAGCGGACAAATCGATGGGGAACTGAAAGTTGACTGCAGCCACGAGCCTGTTCGAAAAAGAAGTACAATCGATATTGCATCGATCGATGCATTAGCGCGCGCATAATCGTCGTGTTTGCATCCAATCGAATACGATGGAGCACACGCGCTACGTGCTATACATAACACGTGCGTTTCCATATCATTTGATCCTGTGATTAAACGCGGGGATCGCTCTATCGCGTGAGAGAGCCCATTGTTTACGCGCGCGCATCGGCAAATTGCCTGTCACTTTGTTTCGAGCTTTTAGTCATTCCCACGCGACACTTCCACGTATGCATTTGTTTCTCGTGAGTGAAAATTAGTGGATTTGCTGCTGCTCGAAGTGTGTAAGTGTGTACACATTCGAGGACATAAAAGACCGTTATGTAGATGAGTCGAACGCAATTTCCGCGTTTACACGACAGTATAAAAACCATTACCGCAATATTATTCGTTTTATCAGTCACCTACGTAACACTAGTCTATTATTTAGCGTCGTTGTGATGGATTTATCACGTATTTGTCTGGATAATTCAATGCGCAATGCATTATTCGGAGGTAAGTACGTTGATTCCATTTGGTGCGCATTAATAAATCACGAGAAAGAACCCTTTAGTTATCATAATGTCCATTTGTGTGCATTACTGCTATCGATCCCCGAAATCGAATGCATCACGTAACAACAATCAATTGTCCATTAGTCGGAACTGATTTCCCAACCGTACAACGTCAATAAGGGAAAAAGGTGTTCCAACGACGTGTCGATAGGTACAAACACATAGCCTTCCACTCGAATACATTTCTACAAAGACAAACGTCGCCAAAAAAACAAGTTAGACACCGGTGAAGAAACCGAGAAAGCGAGAGAGCGAGAGAGAATTACGGGCAAACAAGGCTATAATAATTATTAGCGGTTTTAGCGGTTTTTATCCAAGTGAGTCTACCTATATAGTGTATACCAAGAGCGAGAAATAAGGGCGAGACTGCGATCTATTGTGGGGTTTGCTAAGGGCCCCACAGCCCTGTGCTCATTGGCGAGAGCGACGTATCGCTCGTGCGCACGGATAATCCTCTTTGGCCTGTATACGTGGCATCATGAGAGAGAGAGAGAGAGAGAGAGAACGAAGGGGAGAGTCAGCGAGACCGTATAGCTCTTTCAATATGGCGCGTTTTGCTCTCGCGCGCGCCTCATGCCTTTATTATTTAACGGCTGTTTAATGGACGAGAGAAAAAGGAAGGTTGCTTGGTGTGAGTTGCTGCTTGATTGATGCAGTGTCGATCGGTGCAAGTTTTAGCGAATTACCTATGCGCTCTACAAACTTGTCGTTAATCGTCAACTTTGGCTTTCAAGGATAGATTAATATTATTCAGTGCCATTAAATCATTGCTTCGTACAGCTTCTACGACGTGTCCTAAATTTCTTCACTTTCTTAACTCGACTTATTTTTATTCCTAAATTTCTGTCTTTTTCCCGTCAAAATATCTCGCATCAATCTTGGAATATTGAAAGATTTCCGGAAGCCGAGCAGGACAAAACAAGAAATAAATACAAAAGTTTTATTTGGCTGATCGAACATCGAAAATAACTGTCGTGTGCGGTATCGTCTGTCAATTTCACATCCCGTGCGCACGTACGTTCGTTCACCCCAATAATAGCCGCAGAAGAAACAAACGCGCGTACGGGATATAGACAGGGCGAACGAAAGATTTTCATAAAAATAAACTCTAGCAACCGCAGTAATGTACATGCGAAGGGAAGACGAAGAGAGTTCTAAGTTACAAGTGGCGCCGAGGAAGTCGTCGCGAGGATGGTAGTCGAGCGCAGATCGCGTGTATGTTTACACAGGAGTTCCTTCGGCTACGTGAAACTCGAGGTGATATTGCCTTGCGCTAGATCACGAGACACATCTGCGATGGCGCCAGCTACCGTACGCTTTTGTTTGTCTTTATTATACGTACGAGGACGGTACCGGCCGTTTAAAAAAAGATTTAAGCTTGCTTGTGTCCGTTGTTGAATAATCGGTCAATGACATTTTTCAGTTCAGAACAAATATTCAAGCCAACTACAGCTCATTTTATTTTTTACAATAGGCTCCACGGTACATTGCACGTCGACAAATAATTTCAGTGCTGCCGAGTCCATGCGCGCATATACACTGGTCTTCGTCACTTGACTGGGAATTTCGCTCAGCGAAAAATTTGCGGCTACATCCAGAATCTGTTATATGTATGCATGGAGTGCGCAAAGTAGCGGCCAAATTTAGCAGGTATTTTATAGGCGAGTGCACTGCGATGAGAAAAAAATGCATGAACAGCTCTCG